AGGTACTTGCATCTTCTATTGATATTTGATGTATCCCTCAGTATTAGTTTAATGTTCTCAAGACGTGCATAGAAAACCAACCAACTTAGAAGGCAATGTTGACAATAGGTGGGAAAGAAAATGGCCAACTGTACTTGGTATATCAAGGTTATAGAAAACAAATGTGGATCCTAGAAAATCTCTAAACCTAAATGTTTAAATTCGAATATCCTATCCATATATACATATAGACAATTCCCACTCACCTGGTCCATTGCAATATAAGTTTCTAGTATCTCAGGTTTTTCTTTTGTGATACATTCATATAAAACTGAACAAAACAAAGAAATTATCTCTCTTTCCTTGAAAAAAAAAACAGATTTTGATTTAATGCAAGAAAAAAAAAAAACAGTATACAAAAGCTTCCATGTACAAGCTAAAAGTACACGACACCGAGTTGGGGATGTAATTATAAGCACTATACCATTATACACACTATGTACATTAAAACTATCATTCTGAATTTCATAAGTAGCTGTCTCTAACTTCAGCTAGTCTCGCTCATAAGAGTGAGACAACTAGGTGAAACAAGCGCAACCATTAACACCAGTAAATATTCACAACAATCAATAAGAGATCTTCATGAACTACTAGTAATTTTCAATGATAGATTTGGAACCTAATTTTCAGGGAAAACAAGGCAGTGGCAGTTTTCCAAGTTAAAATTAAAGTGTCATCTAGAGCACACAGGTGATTTATTTGGAGGTCTGTTTATTCAAAATGTGAATGTGAAGTGATAACCACCTGCCTTCAAGCACTGTACTCTCTATTGTCCAGAAATTCTCCTGCTTGATGGTATATTTGGAAGAACTGTAGCCAAAAAGACTGTTAGCTATTTCTTTATAGATTACATTATAAACTTGATCAGATTGTCAAGTCTATAGCTCACTGCATTAATTTGTTCTTGAGCAATCAAGATAGGTTTGCAGACCTTGTGGTTCATACGGGTCAAGCTTAGAAAGCTCTACTAGACTAGGTATAGCAACCAATAAGAGCTGAGGATTCTAGGTTTAGGTAGAGCACTAGGCTGCCCCTCATAAATTATCATCCGTTGAGAACTTTTGCCTCAGACTAATTCTCAAAACTATGTTCATGGATGCAGAGCTCTCTTTCAATTAAAACTTGTATTATATAGAATTACAACTCACTTCTTTGGATGAAAGCTTTTGACTGCAGCAATATTCAGCAAAAGCCAAAATTGTAGGGTTTGAAGTAAATGAGCGAATTATATCAGGTTTGACTGTTTGATGACCAACTTGATCATGAGTAAAAGTCTGTGCTAACAGACTACGGAATCCCTGGTGAAGACAAATATCAAATTGTAAGTTTGAATATAAAGCAATTGTGTACCAAATTGTATGTGTATCTTTCATAATGAATATCAGCCGAAAAATTGTCGAAGATGAGAACGAACATTGTAAAAATTAAGTGGATTTACCGGGGTATATGACAATGTGATACAAGTGTTAGAAATAGTGTCACCTTTGGATCTTCCACATATGAAAGATGACCAGCTCTCTGTTTAACATACAATGTACCATTGTTATTAAGTATTGCTTTCACAGTGTCTTGATATTTGTCAACATCTAACTTGACTTTCCAGTATCGTGGCCCAAGGACACATATCTGCAAAAAGAACGCAATACGGAAGAATGATAACATGTTTATAACAATAAAACAAATGTCAACAGCATAGTAAAAATTATTAGTATAAAGGTTCCTAATCATAATCATTACGTCTTATAAAATGACCAAATACTTTTTTTATGTCCAATCTCAAAACTATACACATTTAAGAATAATTTAGCTCCTAGCCCTGTGCATAGTGAACATATCTTAAAAAACCATATGATGTTGCAGTACTTGAGTGATCAATAGATGGAACGAGTCGGCCATCTTGAGTAGAATCAAACTGACATGCACCCTTCCACAGCCAGCAGTCGGCTGTCTTTGATCAGATGACAACGTTATTGTAAGTGTGCCATGACAGACAATCTAGGTATAAATTTGAAGTGAATTGCTCAAAGACAATATGAGACATATATGTCTTAAATAGAATTTGTCAAAGCCATATGGCTGCCAGTTGGCCATCTTGAGTTGAATTTACAAATCAAAGTGGCATGCATCACCTACCCATAATAGTTAATCCCTACACTAAGTTTGGAGTAATATCAACCAACGTGTACGAGATATGGCTCTGTGGAACAAGACAGTCCCTAGTCATCTATTTTGGATTTGATGGTGACAAAAATGCATGTGTGTTTGTCAAATATGATTCCTGTTGTGCAAGACTGATTTGAAATGTGTGATTTTTAAGCATTTTTGACTTTTAAATGCCACTTGGCCATCTTGAATCAGATCATGAAACAAATACATATGAATATGTCCAATATAATGTCTGATGTATATGTGAAGTTTGAACTTTATTGGTCCTAGCATGTGTGAGATATGGATAGACAGACACCGTCACACGCACAAACAGAGGTCAATTGACTAGTTGTTCCTTCCCAACTGCATCCAAACAAGAACTACCTGGTAATTACATGAATAAATAATGTCATCAGTAAAATTACTATTGAACTAAGAAAATATAAATATTATTTGGCAATAAAATAAGAATAATTATACATACTTGTTTTAAGGAATCCAATTCTGGTATAATACAGGGAGCCATCATCTCTGTCTTAAACTCTTTATACCATTTAGTCTCCTAAAACAAACAAGTCAGTAAAATGTGAGAACACAACATAATGTTGATATTTACATATAAAAATACATTAGTTAAATTTAATACCCAAATGAGATTACCAGAGTCACATTTTGATCAGCGACCTGCTTAGAATAATAAGTTACATTGTGATCAGTGGCAAGTATCAAGTTATACCGTATATATATATATGCTACCTACACAGTGTTGACAGACTGAATGAACAAATGGAGGAATGGCAATCAGACTGATATCTGTAATAAAGTTCTGACAAAGACACACACAAAAAAAACCAATTATTAATAAATATTACCTTGAATACAACTTGTAATCTTGCATAGCATGGTTTATTTGAATCTACATCTCTGGGTAATACTAGTCTGGGTTCAGCTGCTAGTACATACAGATGTCGTAATGCTTGTAAATGATACCTAAAAAACACAAGATACAAATTTAAAACAAATTCTGTTCACATGTAATTATTAAACTTCAAAGTAGATCTCAATCTTTTCAGGGTTGTTGGCCTTAAATTCTCACCGGTCTTTTGCTATCGCAGTATGTGCCCACCGACTGATATCCAAAATAGATGTATGATGTGTTACTGATACCCCCCCCCCCCCAATGACACACCTTGTTTAGTTTCGATAAAAACGTACAATTTATTCAATAAGTGGCACTTTTTTCTACTGGAGTTGAATTGGCAGGCCTTGCCTATACAAGTGTTGAAAACTGCAGATGCCCAGGTGTTGTCTATTAATCCAAAGATTCACAAAATGTTATTCTTACCTGTTGTCATTACTATTGATTGGAAACCTGGGAAACACAGAACAGACCAGTGCTGCAATAGCTGTATTACATGTACTCAATGTATAACGACCACCGCCAAGAAATAGAAACCCTAAAGCCATGTGTGTAGCTAAGTGACTTCCATAATTCACTTCAGTACCAAGTCTAGTATGTAGATATCTGGTGAGCCTTAACACTTGTAGGTTACCAGTTCCAGCCATCACCATTGATAGAGACAGCACAATAGCATTGAGACAAATCTCTATGGTGTTCTTACCAGCCTATAGTTATAAAAAGAAGATATAATAAATTGTCAGCATGATAGTTAATAATGACACACATATTCAGAGTACTTCATACAATATGTAGTATACATGATGTATATACCAAGAACATAATGCAAGCAACACAAATATTCCTCTTGAATTATCTGACATTGATAATTGGAAAACTAATCTTACCACATCAGCATCAGGCTTTGTTGTGAGGTCTGAGAATTCTTTGGCAAAGTGTAACTAGTAAAATAAAATGCATATTATTTGAGACAATTATTCTGTGTTAAACATGTATACCGGTACCTATCTAACCACCCGTTAACAGTTAATATATAATATTGATACTTTTATTATTTTAACACATTGTAGTAATGTTGCAATAGGAGAGCTGGCTCTGGAACAGCATTTTTCAAAACAAAAAATTCTATTGAAACAAAATGACACATTAATAAGGTTCTATAATGTTCTATATATGCACCCGGTTTGATAGAATTACATTTTGGGATGTGCCGGAGAGGCTAACAACACCCTTTACTGTTACAATAATAGACCACATTTATACATTTTGTACCAACATTTCTAATTACTATGTTAACTGTGACTTGATTTTTACCGAGATAACTTTACTTTTCACTGCTATTAAAAATATACTCCATAACAATTCATATCTCCCTGGTGAACAATATTATAAACTTACTAGACACTTGAAGGCATCATGGTTTGCTGATCCTGCAAATCTTAGACCAACACACATACAGGCACCAGCTAAAATATTGCAGTATGCTTGGCTGTAAGAAACAAAATTTGGTTATTTATCAGACAAATTTTTAATAATTTGTATATACAAATTTCAGTGATGTAACTTACTAGTATCCATTATTATTTATTAGTTTAACACAAGTCATTGTTTAATGAAACAGTCCCTGTTCAGTTTTAGAGACTTTAGAAATTCTCAGATGTGCATCTTTGAAGCATTTCCTAAATAAAACCAATTTTGTGCATCAGATAAAGACATTAACCGAAAAAAATTATCTAAGCATGCCTGAGAAATAATTAATCACATATGAAAACAAAATCACCAAACAAACAAATGAGCATCAATAACCTATTACCAATATTTTTATACCCATTTAATGAAACAGTCCCTGTTCAGTTTTAGAGACTTTAGAAATTCTCAGATGTGCATCTTTGAAGCATTTCCTAAATAAAACCAATTTTGTGCATCAGATAAAGACATTAACCGAAAAAATTTATCTAAGCATGCCTGAGAAATAATTAATCACATATGAAAACAAAATCACCAAACAAACAAATGAGCATCAATAACCTATTACCAATATTTTTATACCCATTTTGAATAAAATCAACCAGTCCAAATCTTGTGTTTTGGAACAAAAATGGCTACATGCTGGTCGAAGCTCATCGAACAAATTAATGTGCATGTGTACCCAATAATGACTTTTTTGTACCAACTTCAACAAAATCGGCCCTGGCATATATAAGAAATGTTGGATGGATAGACGTAACCCAAACATAAATTCTCGGTTCAGGGACTGATAACATACAACAGTGTACCGTACTCATATTATTAATATTAGTATTAATTTTTTTGTAAAATGAGAACATTGTATTCAGAAATATTCTGAATGCCTTACCTCATTGTTTGCAAGTCTATATCATCATCTACATTACTTTCGTCATCAACAGTATTTTTCTTAAATGAATATTTCTGTACAATCTATAAAGGTATAATATATTGAGAAAATAATATTTCCAACTATTGCAATTTTTACATGATATCAAATTATTTTAGTGGAGGACATCACAAACAACATTCGTAAGCCAGATTTGATGTATTGTATTTTGGCATTCAATGAACCTTACCTTGGGCACATTGCTTTCCACCCATTGTTTTGTTGGTCGGATATCTTCCCATAAGATTAAACCTCGACTTAGAATCTAGATAGAATCAGAATGCAGATACATATAGCACACGTACAAGCAGGTTCTCATAAATAAAATTAGCTTTGGCTAAGGAGAAGAACAATAGTACACACATACATGAGTGTGAACATAGACTGCACCATATTAGCGTTTACTTGTGTATATGACACACCACATAGGAGTTTTAATACAAATACATTGTATTATGTTCTTAAAAAGAAACCATAATATGATTATAAAAAGGGGCTTGAATTAATGAAAAACTTACCCTCAATATGAGAAAATCAGGTCTGACAAAATCCAACAGGAATTGTGTGTCTGGTGCAGCTAACCACTGAGCAACAGCACTAAAATAAATCACATTACAAATACATTACATCACATTACAAAAACATTACATCACATTACAAATACATTACATCACATTACAAATACATTACATCACATTACAAATACATTACATCACATTACAAATACATCACATTACATTACAAATACATTACAACAAAATTGAATAGAATAAATACAAAAATTAGCATTTGACAAACGAAGCAGCTGAAAATAGAGCTATAAAACCTACCTATTTCCAGTCTTTAGAAACATGAGTCCCAATGCTAACGTTGCGCCAGGTGATGTTAAGTCAGTATTTACTTGATCACCTTCTTTGATTTGATAACTTGGTGATTTAAACTTTTCTCTCTGAGCAGCAGTCTGTGTATTCAACAATATAGAAACTACATTTATATACTGTGTTGTTAGAAATAAAACTGCCCTCTATGGCAAACCTCATCTACTAATAATTAATGTCAGTCAACAGAAAGCTGCATGTCCAGATCGGTACACATTTCAATATAATATTTAACAAGTCATTATTTGTACAGCAGTAGTTCATCACATATACATGTAATGTTCATACCAACTTTGAATCAACCATGACATGCCTGAAAAATAGGTGAATGTGATTGAAAAACAAAATAAAAGTGTGCATCACTGTTGGACAATATTCAATGTATGTACCAAATCTGTTCTTGCACAACAAAAATCCAGTGACCACTTTGCTACAATGCCATAAAATGTTAGTGTGTTCGTGCAATTTTCCTCCAGTTATTTTAGACAGCTTCACTTCACATGGTGAATTATCTTACCAGAGCTCTTCTTTGTCCTCCTACCATGTAATGATAAAGTTGATCTGGAATGTTGAGATCTGATAAACCAACAGCACTGCTACCATGCTGTATAATAATGTGCATTAGAAGTATGAGATTTACTGACTATTATTCATGTAAAATCTCAATATTTTGTAAATATACGTTGTATACAAGATTTACTAAAATACATGTACTATTTTTATAAAACATTAAAAACTGTTTAGCTATAGTGTAACCAATCTCAGTGCTGATAGTAAGGTATGATACACATCTACTTACACCAAGGGTTACTAATCCAAGTGCCAAACCAGAAGCTAAAGAGTAAGATTCCCTGTCTGTACAGTTTTCCATCTCAGGACCTGGTGGTCTACCTACAAACATAAATAGGAAGATCCATGAGCAAACAGAATAAAAGCCTCTAAAGAGGATGAAATTAAATTTTATTCTCACCTACAACCTACAATCCAGAATGTACTGTTATAATTATAAAATACTAAATGTGATTACTTACCTATTTCTGATAACAAGACTTCAGCTATATGCCTATGTGCAGTAGCTTGATATACTAATCCAGTACCAATAATAGCAGCCACTTGAACTATATGAGGAACATCTAAATCAGATGAGGATACTGGAAGCAGAGCTTCAGCATGGATACTCAGCATCTTTGTTGCAGCCACATCCATGGTACCACGTCTAAATCACAAAAACACACTGTATTTTACACAAATTATTTTACTTTGTTACTTTGAGCAAACAGTATTTCACCTTTCCATAGAATTCCACGCATGCTATTCAAACAGCATTTTGTCCATTGAATAGTTTAAGGGCAGCTCAAATCGCAAAACTCTAGCAAGCTACACATTCTTCAATGGAATTATTAATTCAATTAGGTTGGTTGCCAGCTTTTTTGCTGTTGACGGCCACAAGTAAATATTGAAACAGTACATGTGTTTAAAATAAGCATGCCTCAAGTGAAATATACAATGAAAAAAAAGTGGTAATTTTTTTATATCATTTGGTGAAAAACATTGATGGATTAGCAACTGTATTCTGAGTGAGAAGGTAAATTGATATTTGTGTTATAAAGAGTATAGTGGCAATAAATTGTGTATCACATACTTGACAGCTGCACATCCCAATAACAATCCCACACTTGTAAATTCATGAGCCTATATAAAACAGAAAAATAAAGAGAACACAAGACACAATGATGAGATAAATATGATACATGGATCAATAAACAAAATATATTCATAGACCATTTGGATCAGTGTAAATACTCATTGGTAAATGGTTAATAAATGCTCATAAAAATTTACTTACAATTTGGCAATACTTTAGCAATGCATACGCTGATACTATCAACTTGTATATTATACTTACTTTGATAAGGTATTCATGTAAATTTAATGTATTCAGTTTGGCTAGATGACCGTTAAGACCCAGTGCCATCAAAAACCCAGCATGTTCATTGGTCAACTCACTTCCAAGACCAGTTTTGGGTTTATTATATACTATCCATGTGGAATCAATCTAAAGATGAAATAGGAAAAAAAAAGTAAAACTCAGGAAGAACTCATGGAACATGAACATGAACATGAACATGAACTCATGAACAAATGAAACTGAATTTTCAAGTTGTGGACCTGAGCCAGCATGATTTGTGATGCTACAAATTAATTGGGGTAGACCATTAATAAAAAAAGTCCAGGTATAAACTGATTCTTAGCAAATAACCCATCTTCTGCCTATTAGACAGATATCTAAAAGTATACAATTATAGTTCTGATAATGGTAAGTGGTGAACAAACTGCTTAATGACATAAACCTCTAAATTTTGATGAATTTAACTGTTTGGCCATCGATCTTTGATCACAAAACAACGCATGTCCATACATATCTCAACATGTACGATGTATGTGTAAAGTTTGAATGCGATCGGTCAAGACATGTTCGTGATATGTACACACCCACAACCAGACAGACACACAAGCATGGATGGACACACACATGTCAAATTAAAAGTTTTATGACTTTGTCCAAACAAGAAATTAATAGCCCACAATTCATGTACTGACCTGTGAGTCTCCTGGGGCAATTCTCAAACCAGCAGCTACACCATTGTGAAATAATGGCCAACTATTCATGTACTGACCTGTGAGTCTCCTGGGGCAATTCTCAAACCAGCAGCTACACCATTGTGAAATAATGGCCAACTGTTCATGTACTGACCTGTGAGTCTCCTGGGGCAATTCTCAAACCAGCAGCCACACCATTGTGAAATAATGGCCAACTATTCATGTACTGACCTGAGAGTCTCCTGGGGCAATTCTCAAACCAGCAGCTACACCATTGTGAAATAATGGCCAACTGTTCATGTACTGACCTGAGAGTCTCCTGGGGCAATTCTCAAACCAGCAGCTACACCATTGTGAAATATAGGCCAACTATTCATGTACTGACCTGTGAGTCTCCTGGGGCAATTCTCAAACCAGCAGCTACACCATTGTGAAATAATGGCCAACTGTTCATGTACTGACCTGTGAGTCTCCTGGGGCAA